AATAATCTCGATGTTTCTTCTCTAGTTTCCTTCATTACATCATCTAGTACAATATTGAACAGGATGGGGCCTAGTACACCTCCTTGTCGTAAGCCATCATTGACTCTAAACTCTTCTGATTCCATATTATCTGTTCTTACCCTGTTTCTTGTGTTCTTGTATAGGCTCATAATAGCTTTTCTGAGTTTGCCGTCTACTTCTCTGTTTCTTAGGCTTTTGTCTATTTCAGTTCGCGGGGTTCTATCAAATGCTTTTTCGAGGTCTATGAAGGCTTGGTATAGTTCCGTACTTGTATTTCGTGCATTTTGTATTAGATGCTTGAGTGTAAAAATATGGTCATGGATGCTTCTTCCCTTCCTGAAACCGCTCTGTGACTGCTCCAGCTTATGGTCTACTTCTTGTAGTAGTCTTTTCTCCAGTACTCGTTCGTAAACTTTGGAAGGGATACTCAGGAGAGTTATACCTCTGTAGTTGCTGCATTCTCGTCTGTCACCTTTTTTGAAAATGGGTAGAATAACGCCCACTTCCCAGTCTTTTGGGATCTTGTTCTCATTCCATGCTTTATTGCAAACTTTTCTAAGCATTTCATTTCCATTTTCTCCCATATTTTTTAGCATTTCCGCAGTTATCTTATCATAGCCAGCTGCCTTGCCTCTTTTGAGCCTGAGTATTATTTCTCTTATTTCTTCTATTGTTATTTCGTTTTGGTTTGGGTTCTCAGATGTGTTTTCTTCAGTGTTGTCTATTTCATTATTATAGTCTTTTTGAGTCAGAAGGTCTTCGAAATATTCTCTCCACCTGTTCATAATACTTTCGTTCTCGCAGAGGATGTGGCCATCTTTGTTTTTAATTTGTTTTGGTGTTTGTTGTCTGTTCTCTGTTCTTAGGCTTCTCAGAGTTTTGTAAAATAGTTTTTGGTTAGTGTGGTAGTCTTTCTCCAGCTTATTCCCAAAATCCTCCCAGCTCTTCTTTTTTGCTTCAATCACCATATCTTTTACTTTTGCCCTCTGTTGCTTATATTTTTGATAGCTTTCTGCATTCTGGTTCCCTAGATATTTTTTCCACGCTAGCTTCTTGGATTTGACCTCTTCTTTTATTTCATTACTCCACCAATTCGTACATTGTCTGTTTTTATTGATTTTAGCTATTCCGCAGATTTGCTTGCCCCCATCTAGGAGAGATTCTTTAAGTTTTTGCCAAGTTTCTTCTAAGTCATAGTTCTGGTTTAAGTGCTTTTGTAGACTATTGTTCACATAGCTTTTGTATTTCTGTGCTATTTTCTTATCTGCTAACTTGTATGACCTAATAACTGCGTTGGTGAGGTTTCTTGGGGTTCTGTCTCTTTTTCTTGGTACCTTCTGCGTGCGTTTTTGTTCCACACCGATACTAGTTCGGGATACTACCAGATAATGGTCGCTATATATTTCTGCTCCCCTTCTGACTCTGACATCTTTGATACACTGTCTTAAGGGTCTGTTTACCAATACATAGTCAATAATGGACTTTTCTCCTCTACTCTTGACTTCTCTGGTATATTTGTGCACATCTTTGTGTTGAAAAAAGGAATTCATAATTATCAGGTCATTCTCTCTACAAAAGTCTATAATTCGTTGACCATTATTGTTTCTTACTTGTTCTCCGTGTTGTCCTAGTACATCCGAGGATTCTTGGTCTTTTACGCCTACTCTACCATTGAGATCGCCAATTATTATTATGTTACCTTCTGCGCTATCTATGATCTCTGTCGCCTTTTCCCAAAAAATGTCCTTGGTGTTCGCTCTTTCAGTATCGTTTGGTCCATATATAACAAAGATGTTGACTAGTTTCTTCTCTTCGGTTGTCATTCTAATTTTTAGGATCCTTTCGGTAATACATTCCCAATCTTTAATGCTACTAGTCAAGTTTCTATTGATGAGACAACCAACTCCTTCACGTGCTCTTTCTGACGGGGGTGCTCCACTGAGTATTAAAAAATGGCCATTTTCCAGAAACTGTGTGCTCTTACCTTTTCTTTTGGTCTCTGTGATCCCTAGTATGTCTATTTTAGCCTTATTAAATTCTTCTACAAGTTCAGCCTCCTTGCCGTTGAGACCTCTTACGTTCCATGTTCCTATTGTCCATCCTTCAGGTATTCTGGTTTTTTGAGTTGTCGTTGTTTTCACACTTTTAATCTCATTGATTACAGTTGCTTTGTGTATTTGTAAGCGTTTCTCATCTTCCTTCTTTTTTACGTTTCCACACTGGTCTTTGTATAGTGCTTTACTACTATTCATGTCCTTGTTCATTGCCTGTTTCGTCATCGTTTTTCCATTGCCGTTTTTTATTAGTTTTTTGGTTTATCTATCTTATTTTCTTTATTATTCCATTTCCATTCTTCCTTATTTACCCACAATTTATTTGTGCCAATCTTTACGTCGTTGCCTTTATCTATCTCTTCTCGTGCAATCATTCTTATAGTTTTTTGTATTTGTCTTTCTTTCATTGTGGTGTCGTTGTTGATATATATTTTTTCCTTGTGGTTTTTTAGCTTGTACTTGTTCTTCATGACTTTGATTTTTTCTTCCTGATCTTCTAGTTCGATCAGACAGGTTTTTGTTCCCAGCTTGTATGCATCTTTGATTTTAACCTCAATTTCCATATATGTTTTGAATATATTCAACATCGCCTCTTTTATTACTCTTTGATCATAGGTATCTATTAATATACCATTCAACACTACATTGTTTTTCCTCCTTTGTTTTTCCATAAATTCCATATTCTCCTTGATTTCTTTCAATTCCTCTTTGATTTCTTTGTTTTCTTGTTTTAGGTCTTTGTTTTCCTTCTTTAACTTTTTATTATCTTCGATGAGCTGTTCTATTGCTTCTTTACTGCTCTTTTGGTCGTTCTTTATCTCTGTGACATCTTTTGCCAACTTGTTCATCATTTCAATTATGGTATCTAGTTTTGATTCATGTTTATTCCGTGGTGAGTTTGTTGATAGCTTTCTATTCTTCGTATGCTCTCCTCTTTCTCACTCTCTCTCGTTCGTCTGTTACTGAGCTATCGCTCTCCCAATCTTTTCCTTTCTCCAAAACTTTTCATTATTCGGCGCCAAGCACTATCTTCCACCTCAACGGTTCAGAGAAGACAGTGTCTACCGTTTATTTTATTGCAACCAGCTAAAATATTGTCGCCTGGGATATTTTGCTCACAGTGGCAACGTCACATAAAAATTGGTGAAGACTTCAGTGAATTTTGCTTTTTATCGCGCTTATCAGTTAACCTCTTCGGTGTATTTTGGTTAATTGCTTATAATTATTTCACTGACTCACCTTTTAGAAGTCCACTTTTTATACTACTGATTAGTTTTTAACTTTGTTTTGCACTCTAACTAATTTTGATTGTTTATTTCTCGTTGTAACTCTCGATAAATCGGGTTAATTACAGCCGAAACAATAAACGTATTTATCTAATCGCTACCGCGTTGCCAATCATTGAATAATTATAAATTTGTTAATGAAAGAATTTTTGAGATGTCTGTGAGTTTTGAGATGTGATAGAGATGTACTCATCATCAGTTATTTCGTGTGAAAAGTCAAGATTAGGTAATTTTGTAGAATCACTCATTAAAACTTGGGTTTTGTCCTTTAATTTTTTTTATAAATTAGTCTATTTTTGGTTGATTTTTCATTAAGATGGGGATAGATTTGGTATAACGTAGAAATAAGTGATTTAATGTCTGGTGTGAATTCTAATGCTTCTGTGTATGGATCGCTACTACCGTAACAGTTTTCAATAATAGCAATTATGTGATCTGCTGGGATAATGAATATTTGTGCGGTTTCTTTATAAAGTTCGAGTATAATTGTTTTGCCATTTCGGATAGGATTGGATCACAATTTGACCGTTTAAGTTTTTTCTTGCTTTGTGGTTTGGAAAACCCGGCATGAAAATTAGTTTGTTCACTATGAGTAGATTATTCAGTAATGCTAGTTCTGTCGCTAGGAGATGAAAGCTCTGAGTGTGTGCGTTTATGGTATGTTTGTGTATCTGTCATATGTTGACTTGGTTGTGCTAATAAGGAGTTGTTATTTGAGGATGTAAGTGGTATATTATTGACTGGAGAAGATATCTCTGTTGGTGTGAAAGGTACAGTATTGGTTTCTGGGCTTCTTTCAGTAGACGCGGATTTTGCTCTTAATGGAGATAAAAATTGTCTGATCAGAAGAGGTACTTTCTGGTTGATTTGTGCAATTTGAAGCAACATCTCCTGATATTTTTTAAACGAAACATTCCATTTTGTCAGTAGAGAGGAAAATGCGGTTTTCATTATCTTTAAAAGAGAGCACAAAAGAGGTTTGGAGCTCAATAGTTTCGGAGGGCGGAAATACATAAACTTGTCTTCTAAAGCTAAGGATATGTTTGGACCTAGGCTTTTAATAGCGGTTTCGATAATTTCATGTGGACAAATTTTTTACCATATCTTTAAAAATAATAGTAGATGCTGAATAAAACTAATACTGGATGACTTTTTGATGTGTAATAACCAGAAAACGCAATGTTGTACATTCAATTTTCATTATTGACCACCTATAACATTTTTTAAACTTAGCGTTATCGTCAACACGACGGTTAAGTGATAACTGACTAATTCGAGCGTTTTTTAAAATATTAGGCGACGTTGTCAGGTTACACAATATGTATATTATATAATAGAGGGGTATATATCGAATATGTAACATAGTGCTGTTTGGACTTAATATTATTTTACTGTGTAATTCTGGTAAATTCTCGGTTTGTTCCATATATGATACATTGAGCAGTGTAGGGTTAAAAACTGCAATAATTTTTTATTAGTTACTTACAAATAATTGATGCAGAAAAATGTATCATTTCCATTATATTGGCAATATTCCTTGCAATATATTTTGTTTCTTATCTACTTCTAAAACAAGTCATGTCAAATATCTTAAAACATCCAAATATTTTTAAATAGCTAAATTTAATTTATTTTACAGGAAAAGATGAAATTGGCCTAAGGGAAACATCTTGGACACTTCAAAATTCAGTCCTATACATCGACCAACCAGCTGGTACCGGCTGGAGTTTTACTAATGAAGGATATGCTCAAAATCAAACTAAAGTAGGTAATGATCTCTACGCAGCTCTAGTTCAATTCTTCTCTGTATTTAACGAATACCAGAATAATCCATTTATAATCACTGGTGAATCCTATGCTGGCAAGTACATTCCAGCGATTGGTCATGCTATTGATAAATATAACCCTTCAGCTTCAGTACATATTAACCTCCAAGGAATGGCAATTGGTAATGGTTTGACCGATCCCAAGTATCAAATTAAATACGCGGACTATTTGTATAAACATGGATTGGTGGATTTGAATACGAGGGATGAGCTGGACTACCTAGAAAATCAAAGTAAGCGATTTATTTTATTTATCGTATGGCATACAATAAGAACACATAATTAAAAATGTGACGTCCTCTCGTAGGAGTCACTATCCGGGTAGCTTTTGGACAGTCAGAGACAGAGTTCAAAATAAAAATAAAACTTTATTGTCTTCCTTAAATTAAATTGACAAAAATCTTATGTACATATTTACAATTTAGTTTAGTCTTCTCAGTACCTGGCCTATTTATTCAAATTAAGTTTGACCTTGTCGTATGAAATTAGTGTTATCGGCAATCAAGTGTGTTTTCGGAATTTTACGTGAACGATGTGTCGATTTAATAACAGCGGACGATAGGTACAAAGGAAAGAAAGAAACTCAACACGTCCCTCAAGTGATTCGGGTTAATAGGACACTCCTCGACAGTCTCAACACGACTGCTTCGGAGTACGGGTAATGGAGAGCTCAACACGCTCTCCGGCTGGCGGTATGGAACGGAAACAACTTGTGAACTCAACACGTCCACAAGCCGGGGTAGGGGAGAAGAGAACCTTCAGTCAACACCTGACGATTCTGCCTCTATGAGGAAATAATGCGGTTTATATAGCAAAGTTTTGCCCTTTCTACTGTCGATACACTCCTACTTCATGGGTTGGTTCGCGCGCACGCTGGTTTAACGGTGATGGCTTGGACTCATCGTTACACCCCCTCTTCCTGGGAAAAAAAAATTTTGGAACAAAATTTTTTTATTTTTATTCCTTGCCAGGTACTTGGTTACCCTAAAAAACAATTTACAATACATCGAAATAAAAAATGTCCGCCCTAAAAAAAATAAATATCGTCTTCTTAAAAAAAAATCGTCTTCCCCTCTCTTAAAAAACGTCTTCCTTCGTGGGGCTTCAATTATTGGTTTTTATCCTCAGCACCTGGTTCGGGAGTCTCAGTCTGTATTTTTTTCCTTTATGCTGCGGCGGAATTAGTGAGAGCAGCGGGATTGACACTGGAATTGACTGGACTTTCTGAATTTTTGTGATGCCCATGGCTGGTTCATCGAAAAGGTTTTTAAATTTGGAAATAGCCTTTATCAGGGGCTCGCAGCCTTTGCCCGGGGTGTTAGGTTTTGGTGTGTTCCCCAATGGTGATATTAACTCTGGAACGGTGTATGGTGGCGGCGTAACTGTGCCGTCCATTTCTATGTCACTGTAATATATTTCTAACGTGTCTGACATTATACTTGAAGGTTACTGGTAAACTGTATTAAAATATACTGTCACTACTTGGTGTTGACTGTAAGTGCTTGGACTGATTAAGGAGTAGGGAAATCGGTAAATGCGGGTTTTAGGTCTTTGATATGAGCTGTTATTGTACGGTTTTTATCGTCGTGTTTTAATTTGAATATTACATTAGAACACACTTTTGTTATAGTATATGGGCCTGAAAATTTCGGTGCTAATTTGGCGTTAAAATTTTTGGCGGCATTTGAGAGTTGGTATTCCCTTTTCATGACTTTGTCGTTTATTGTCGGTTTCCACTCTCTTCGTCGTAAGTTGTAGTAATGGCTTTGAGTTGTAAAAGCTTTTGCCAGGTTTGTACGTACTAGTTCGAATGTTTCTTGTAGTTTATGCCATTTTATGTTTTGATCGGTATGTTGTGTGTCGTTTGGGGTTTTTACGACTTTACTTGGAATTTCTAGTTCGTGTCCAAAGTTCAGGAAGGCTGGGGAGAAACCCGTTGAATCGTGTTTAGCTGTATTATATGCGAATAGTAGTTCTGGAAGGCTCGTGTCCCATTTCTTATGGTTATTATCGCAGAACTGAGCTATCATTGTTTTGATTACTCTGTTTGTTCTTTCTACTGGATTATTCTGGGGTGAATATGGCGGAATGTTTCTTTTAGAAATCTGGAATTCGTCTAGCAACTTTCGTACTTCCCTGTTATCGTATGTTCTTGCGTTGTCTGATATTAGCTCTTTGGGTGATCCGAATCTCATAATGATTTTATCTTTTAAGTTTTGACAGACTGATTTTGCCGTTGCTGTTCTGATCGGTATGGCTTCGACCCATTTTGAAAAGGTGTCCTGGAATGTCATTATATATTTGTTTCCTTTGCTGGATGTTGGAAGGGGTCCTATGATGTCGGTTGAAACGGTGTGCCATGGATGTGGGGGAATTTGTGTAGATTGCATGCGGCCTGGAGTTAAGCTTTGTTGCGGCTTAAATTGCTGACAGTTCTTGCAGTTCCTGACGAACTTTGCGGCGTCTTTAAACATCCCTGGCCAGTAGTATTTTCTAGCTAGGCGGGTTATTGTTTTAGCTATTCCTAGATGTCCTGCGGTCGGTTGCTCGTGGTTTTCTGCCAGGAGTTGTTGTCTCTTGTGGTTTGGGATGCATAGTTTCCAGGGGTTGGATACCTCTGTCTCTTTTAAATCGTATTTGTCCCAGAAGTGTCGATAGAGAAGTCCATCTTTGATAGAGTAGTCTGGAAATAGTTGCGGATTTGTCTGGATTTTATTTAAAGCTTTATTGTACCATTCGTCGGGTTCTACATCTTCTACGTTTATTAAGCAAACCAGATCTACTGGTTCTCTAGAGAGCGCGTCGGCCAGGACGTTCTGGGAGCCCTTTCTGTAAATGACATCGAAGTCAAATTGTTGCAGCAGCATTGCCCATCTAGCTATTCTACCTGTAGGGTTTTCCATTGTTTGTAAGTATCGTAGACTTTGATGATCTGTGATAATTGAAAATGGGTATCCTTCGATGTAGGGTTTCATCTTTTCTACACCGAAGATGATCGCTAGTAGTTCTTTTTCTGTCACGCTGTAATTTTTTTCGGCCTTTGTTAGGTTTCGACTTGCGTAAGCGATGACTTGTTCCTGTCCTTCGTCGTTTGTTTGTACTAAAGCTACTCCTAAACCGTGGTTCGAAGCGTCCGATTGTAAAAAAAATCTTTTCTGGAAGTCCGGGCAGATCAGTATTGGAGCTTGTGTCAGTAGTACTTTTATTTTGTTGAATGCTTCCTCTTGGTCTCTGTCCCAAGTCCAATGTTGTTTTTTCTTTAGTAGCTTTGTTAAAGGGGCTGTAGTTCGTGAAAAATCTTTTATAAATCTCCTATACCATGAGATGATGCCCAAAAATCGGCGTAGTTGTTTAACGGTTTTTGGCGCGGGATATTCGACTATGGCTTTTGTCTTGTTTTCGTCCACTTTTATTCCCGTCTTGTTTACTACATGGCCTAAATAATTTATCTCTTCTTTGCAGAATTTACATTTGTCTATATTAATTCGTAGTTTGGCCTGCTGTAGTCTGTGAAGTACTTCTTTTAAGTTTTCCATATGTTCCTCGAACGTTTTCCCCAGTACTATTATGTCGTCTAAATAGGCGAATGCATGTGGTTCCATTTCTGGGCCGATTATTGTATCTAGTAATCGTTGAAAAGTAGCGGAGGCGGCGTGTAATCCGAATGGAAGTACTTTGAACTGGAATAGTCCTTTTCCTGGTGCTATGAAAGCGGTCAAGGGTTTGCTTGCTTCGGAAAGTGGTACTTGCCAATATCCATTTTTTAGATCCAACGTGGTAAAATATTTTGCAGATTTTAACTTTTCTAGGATATGATTGATGTACGGTAATGGGTAGGCATCTTTTTCTGAGATGTCGTTGATTTTCCTAAAATCGATGCAAAATCTGTATCCGTTGTTATCCTTCTTTTTTACTAGGACGATGGGGGAACTGTACGGGCTATTAGATTTTTCTATCACGTTCTCTTCTAGCATCTTATCTATCTCATCGTTTATGATCTTCTGCATTGCCGGGTTTCGGGGCCTGTATCTTTGTTTGATCGGTGTATTATGTTTAAGTTTTATTGTATGTTCGGTTAGATGTGTTGTTCCTTTAATGTGTTTAAATTTCTCCAATTCGGTTAGTAACAATTCCTGTAATTGTTTTTTTTTCGGTATTGTTTAGTGTAGTACTAATGTCGAGCTGCTCTCGTTTCGGACTGTTCGTGAATTCCGGTATGTATGACGGAATGTCTTCGGTCTGGTCGTCGGCCGCGGTATCGGTCGGTAGTTCGGTATATCTTCGGTCTGGTTGTCGACCGCGGTATCGGTCGGTAGTCGGTATATTTTCGGTCTGGTCTTCGACCGCGGTATCGGTCGGTAGTCGGTAGGTCGTTTTGTTATATATCTTGCTTCTCTGTTGGAGCGGATATCTTGCGGTTGGTGTTTCGTTGACCCTGGAATTGGTCGGTATTCGGTTATTGTCTGCATTGTACGATCTGGATCTGTGTTCTGTCCTGGTTTGGTATTGTTCTCTCCTTCTTACGCGATTTCTATTTAAGATGTTTGATAAATCAAGGCCCCATCTTGTTATTTCATGCATTCCCAGTACTACTTCTGAAGCTAGGTTTGGTAAAAAATGTAGCTTGGCTTTTCTCCAAACGTTGTCTATGGAACATTTTGCTGTAAAACAGATTTCTATGTTGCTGGTTTTTCCATCTGCCAGCGTGATCTTTAAAGCTTTTCTGTCGCTTTTTGTTCCACATTGTTCCAATATTTTTTTACCTTTTTGTCCTATAAACGAATTTTGGGCTCCTGTGTCTATTAGTGCTTTTAACTTTTTACCGTTGCTGAACGTTATCGTTGTGTGGGGTCGTTGATCTTTATAGTGTGCGTAGCTGGAGGTTGTTAGGGAGGACTCTAAATGCTGACTGGGTTGCCTCCTTCTTGTCCAGTCCTGTTGGAGTTTTCCGGTCGGCTTCTACATTGGCAGTTATTGGAAGTTGTTCCTCGGGTTCCGCAATGGCTGCAGAAGAGTACAGCGATAGCTCTGCAGTTTCTTCTATTGTGGCCTCTGCGGCCGCATCTCCAACAACAAGTCTGTCTGTCGAAATTCTGTATTTTGTTATTACGACTATTTGCCTGTGTCCAGTCACACCTTGTATTGTTTCTGTTATATATTTCTTTTTGGACCATATCATATTCTTCCGCTAGTCTGATGATGTCCTGTGTTGACGATACGTCTTGCCTCTTTA